AGCAGGGAGTTATGCTCCACCTCCTTGAGAACAAAATACCTACATAAATGATTTGGAATTCTTTTTGCATAAAAGATTTGTCTATTTACCTAACTTATTATTTTTTTTTATCCAATCATGTTTTTATATCAGTTTGGACTCATGGATATTTATTTTATACTTTGTGTTATTATCCAGTACACTTGATTTACTTTGCTGCTCATATCATTTCAGCTTTGGCTGATCCACTGGGAGTATATCAGTTAACTCCCATATCTCTTTGACTTGCCCCTGTCATTAAGGTCTTTTGGGGATCTTTTCGTTTTGTTGTTTTGCTTTATTTTGTTTTTGAGAACTTCCTTACTTTCTGGCACTACGGGATGCTCCAGAATCATCTTGTATATTTCCTGCCCTCGTCTTAGAATTAGCTGTTTTTCCAAGGAGACCTGGTTCTTTTTATTGGAGAATGATTTTTTTTAAAAAATTTGAGTACCAGGTGCTTAATATTTTATAAAGTATTATTAGGGATTTATAATCAAGTTGAGTACCATATACTATCTGAACATTTTTCAAGTGACACATCTATACAAGAGGCAGCTGAATAACACTTCTCAGATTTTTTTTTCTTGTGAATCAAATATGAAACACAGCAAGTGATTAGAAATGTTAAATGTATTATATTATTATAGTATAGTATATTATTATTGTATGCCACCTGAGAAAAAGTCACCTCAGTGAAATAGAAAAGAAAGACTACTGTCAAACAGAAAAAAGATTAAATTTATGCAGTTATGCTTGTGTGTGACACTTCTCAGATTTTTTTTTCTTGTGAATCAAATATGAAACACAGCAAGTGATTAGAAATGTTAAATGTATTATATTATTATAGTATAGTATATTATTATTGTATGCCACCTGAGAAAAAGTCACCTCAGTGAAATAGAAAAGAAAGACTACTGTCAAACAGAAAAAAGATTAAATTTATGCAGTTATGCTTGTGTGTGTGTTGACTAGTTTCCAAGGTTTAAAAGATTGTTTAAATCTGGTATGTTACATACAAATATTTCTTAAACTACTAAACCGAATTATTAGTATAATTCTAAGTATTGCTACTAACTTTATGTTAGCATTCAGTTTTATAAGATTCAAATAATCAAAACAGAAATTTAAAAGGATCATTTTCTGTTCTTCAAAGAACAGAAGCTCACAGTGAACAATGCTATACTCTGGTCAGTTCAATTGCCGACTTCCTTATCCTGTTCCTCCTTGGCCCTACCTGCCCCAGTACCACAAAATCATTAAAAAGTGTTTTCTAAGGAGTCGTGGAGTGATCGTTTCTTAAGGTAAAGTTGGACTAAGCCAAGTAAATATTTCACTAAAAGCTTTTACTGGAGCTGGTCTTGGAGTAAGGAAGGAAGCATTCCTTTCAGCTATGGAAGCACTAATGCAAACCAGTTTTGGTGTTTGGTTTGATTCTTCTGCTTCTAATTCTGTAGGGCAGTGACCTCATTCTAGCCCTGCCCCATGCTGGTTCGGTATTCCTGCTCTCTTCATTTTGGCCACCTCAACATTTTCTACAGCCAGCTGCTCTCCCCACGTCTATTCTTCTATCTATATCTGGGCAATATCTTCAGTCTTCACATGCATCTTGGTCTCACTTGCACTTAACTCTTTAGATATTCCCATTAACTCCTCAGTTTTGGGTCAGTTTTGTCTCAGGTGGAATAAAGTACACCTAGTGTAACCCAGAGACCATGATTTAGGTGTATACTACTTCAAACTCTTATTAAACTTTTGAAATAAAACATAAAAAATGATGACTTGCTCAAAAACATGTGCTTAAGGTCCTGCATTAAACCTATATTTGGGAGTTTGATACTCTTACCAAACAAAGATTTTAAGAAAACTGCAGCCTGTATTCTCAACTGCTCTCTCTCCCTAGACAATATGCATTTTCTCTCTCAATTTCTCCCTCTCTCTCTCTCTCTCTCTCTCTCACGCATGCACGCATATCACAGCGTCATTTAATCTATGTCAAGAATCTTTCTACAAAATTTCTGAGAGTTAACATTTTATCTCCTACCCAAACATCTTCATTGCCTCCTGGAACTCACTTCTTTGTGAAGCTTGCTGTTTCATTTTTGGACAGGTCCATTTGTGAAAACCTGTCTTTCATACCGAACTAAAATTCATCGTATCATCTTCCCTATTATTCCTGGAATCAAACAAGATATTATGTGCAGAAACTTTTTGAAACAGGAAAGCACTAAATACATATAATATATACGTATATATATACATATATATATGTGTATATGTATATATATATTTATATATATATAAATTTTACTATGTAGAGTTTGAAAATTTGACAAGCACATTCTCCCCTCTAGGTCATTGGGATAGACGAGTATGAGAACAGGACAAGGCAAATACCCTGCACAGGTTTCTGAAGAGAGCTCCTTCCAGCCTGACATTCCATTCATCTATGTTTTTTAAACTGTTCTATTTAAGCAATGAAAGACAAGGACAAGACACAACCAAAAGCTAGAAAACAGAAAAAAAAACTAAAATAGGGACAAGACTAGGATCCAACAACTGAGGCTGATCAAGGGCCAGAAGAAGCAGAAGGCAGTTGATGTGGCTGAATTATCTCTGCTGGTTACAACATTTCAGTTGTAGAGGTTAGTGTAGGCTGTAGTGTCATTTCCTGCTTTTCTCTTCCTGATCAAAGACAGCCTCAAAGTACCTGAGAAATTGTTTCAATTCTGACCCAATCAATAAAACAAACAAACAAACAAACAAACAGCACTCATATGGAAGAGTACTAGATGAAGGCCTGAGATTTCCAAATTTACTCTCAAAACATCATTTGAGAAGCAGTTCTTAAGGTTTGGTTGGGTGTATTCAACTTCCAAGCTGTGATATGGATGAACTTCCCTGCCAGCAGTCCTAAATTTGGTGCTCTGAAGAGGGCAAGAATAGAGCAGGACCAGACCCCATGTCTACAGGTGCCCATTAAGCATATTTGACGAGGAATCCGATGTCCAAACTTCCAGTGGTCAGAAATCACTGGAAGCTTTGTGGCATTTCAAAGGCTGTGAATAGAGCACCTTGATCCAAGTAACACAGAACACTTGGATACACATGAGATAGCCACTGGAAGAATTCCAGGCTCATAAAACTTATGAGGCAGTTCTTACAGAGGGTGAGAAATTGGTTCAATATATAACATAAGTGATTAAGTATGAATAACTTCTAGATCCTTTGGAATCAAAATTAGTACTATATATTACTTGAAACATAAATTCAGAGTTCATGGTAAGGTCTAGGATATGGCATATGACATATGACTTTATACCATATAGTTAGGCCCTTATACCTAGTGAGTGACCTTATTTGCTTTTACAGAGACAGTCTTTAAATATTTTTTTGTTTGATGTTTTTCTGCATGTTTTGAGATAACTATATGATTTTTTATTAGAAATTATTGACTGTTAACTGAATAACACTATTTAGCACACAGAAAATCTGTATCAGTGTACAATTTAAGGAATATAGTTTTAGAATAAAAATTAAGATCCGCCTTTCATAAGAAATTTGACCACAATACTGAAGGGACAGTTTGTATGTCAGATTCCAAGTCCCTTTTAACAATCTCTTCCTTTTTCTTTGTTAAACAGACTGTATGAAATGCTTAGTGCTATTTTTCTTAGCTGAGTTCAAGCAAAGCACAAGCATCAACTCGATCTCTGCTTGTTACTTCTGTTCAAGCACCCCCTTTTGTAGTATGGATTTGGTTCAAGAAGATGAACTTCCTCTTTTTCTCATAATACAGAGCATAATAAACATCTACAATTTAATTAGCTACTTAAAAATACTTTCTGTGGAAGTTCATGTAAAGAAAACCTTTCATCATAGCCACCTACTTGCAACCTAACTTTTCCTTTCATTAAACCTCCCAAGAAGCTTACCCTGAGTGCCTAACACCCCTGAAGTACATTCATTGACTACCAGAGACAGAATTAGAGGGCAGACCTTAAAGGTCATGTAGCTCAGCCACCCTCACAAACACTCTCACTTCCAAGCTTCTTCTGGATTATGTCACCTCCCTTAGCTCCCAATGCAATGAGACATTTAAATCACAACAACCCATTCAAAATTATACAGCTGCCGATTTGAGTCAGCCTTGGTATTGGTGTTTGAGAGAGGGGCCTGGTTGTCTGGTTTACTCAAGAAAATTATTATAGATGATGCAGTTGGGTCATGTGACACATAGTTAAAAAAATAAACAATCCTTGTTGACACATGACCTACAACTAAGACAGAGGCTTTATAATTCATGTGATGAAATATTTGGCTCTGAGGAAATGTCACTAGCTTTGTTTTTCTTAGCATGAGAAGCTAATTCATATTTTCATATTAGGCTGAATCTCAACTGTGTCAACCTTGTGATATCAATAAATTGGACCCCTCAAAAGTTGCTTTCTGCTCAGCAAGAATAAACTACAAAAGCTTTTTGAAAAGAGAGACTTTAGGAGTCATTCTCTATCCCCTCTGTGTTCTTCCTGACTGCTGGCTGGCTGACCTGGGGCTTTTTACCTGGTGGTCTGATGAATGAGTCATGGCATTTTAAAAAAAGAGAAGATAATAAGGATATTTGGATGGTTAGATATAGAGGCAATTAAAAACGTGCTGGGTGGGCTCTCTTCCTGTAAGGCCTGGATGGTGATTTGGAAGATTGTAGTGGATTCTCTTTGTGATGCCTACAAATATTCCAGAAAATGGAGTAGAAAGGGAATGCGAAACTAGACTCATCAGAAAGACAGTCCACAGATTCTTAGTCTTCAAGTATTTTATACTCTGACAGATTTTTTAAAAGGTTACTATTTTTTCCCCCTTAGTTTCAGCTGTAAAATTGACTTAGAAGAACAATCTGGACACAAGCAAGCCTAATCATAGTAGGAAGGGTGTCTGGTGGTGGGCAGTAATACAACTCAGTATCTCGTCTCTTAAACCAGCTCCTCCTGTGTTCTCACTCTTTGCTGATACTGTTAGCAGCCATCACCAGCCAGCCAGACCAGAGACTTTGGACTCACCTTCCTCATCCACACAGATGGTGAGTTATTTTTGCAATACTTTCATCTCTTCCTTTTGCCACTGTCAACACATAAGTTGAGATTTTCATCTTCTCCCAATGGGATCACATAAACTCTACATTGTCTTTATTCCATCCCATACCCTAAGAATGATCTTTCTAAAATTCAAGTCTAAACACGTCCTTTCTTAAAAACCATCAACGGTTTACCTCATCAGTATTATATTGAAGCATAAAATGGTGGTTTACAAGCCAGTCAACCTATATTTGGGAGGTGTATAGCTTTAAAATGTAGGTTCTGGAGTGGGACTGGGCATCTGGCTGGTCTCTTTACCAGTTGTATGATTTTAGGGAATTACTTAACCTCTCTGAACTTCAGTCACTTCATTTGTGAAATAGGAATTGTAACAGTATCTACCTCATGGAATTTTGTGAGGATTAAATTAGATAATACCAAAACAAAAAAATATACTTAACATGGTACCTGACAGCTATTACTCAAGGCTTGCAAAGTTTCATTGTTGTTGGTGTTTTTGTTTTTACTTTTCCAACTTTAGTATTTGCCATTTTCTCTCAAACCTCCATATTTTCTGGCCATATTCAACTGTTTACTGTCCCTAGACAATATCTTGTGATTCCCTACCATTTTTCAGGCCCTGCCCAGGAGGATGAGGCAGACTTGATAGAGAAATGCTTAACGGAGCTGTGGGTCATTGAAAGGTGTTAGACTTTGGGTTGAACTAACATGGTGGAATCCAGAAATCCTCCACAAATATGCTTAGAGATGAAACCATTGGTAGAGTCAAAGTGTAAGACAGATTGGTGCCTTAATTAAGTCAAGTGGAAGAAGGCCAAGTTATAATAGTAGACAGGTCATACAGAGCTGGTGAAAACTGGCATTTCAAGAACTGAGCATGCAGCGGAAAATTCTGCTCTGCCTGAAGATCCTTAAAAGTGCCACACCAGGTTGGACGACTCTCTCCTTTGCCTGGATTGTCCTTCTTTATTTACTGATTCCTTCTCATCTTTCAGTGGCTACTTCAGTTGTCTCCTTCCCTATTAACCTTCCCTAACTCCTCTTCTGATTTCTCTCAGGCACAGTGTACTTCAAAAGGAGGGAAAATTTATAGGACCTTTGGTTGATGATCTAAAAAAACAACTGTGTAAGGCTACTACCACTTGAATACAAGGATGGTGGAAAAAAGAAATCTGACTGGAATAAATTGATCACATATAAAGGACATGTTACAGGTAAAGGAGAAACAAATTAGGCTGACCCATATGAAGGCAAGTCAGGGGGCTTGGAAAAAAAAATTGGTAATGGAGAGCTGGTGGTTCTGGCTGACCTGAATGCAAAGCTTTACTAGATTTTTTTGGCAAATCCTTTTCCCCCAAATCTGGCTCTCTAGTTCTTCTGCTTACCAATTGTGTGAGCTTGAGGAATTTAGGCTCTTTGAGTCTTAAATTTCTCACATGATAAATGGAGTGGGGAAGGGGATGGGAATGCCTGCTCTGCCCACTCTACAGGTTTGTTTTGATTTTCCAAAATGAGAGAATATGTGATAGCATAGTTTTGGCCTCGTCATGGCATTTCTATGAGTGAGGGTAGAAAAGAAATGCTGATTTTGTGGTTGCTTGTCATTTATTAACTAATGTAACACTTCGATTAAACTCGAACTCATCTTCATTGAGGTAGTTACTTTGTGTTTTCAAATGAAAAATTAAGAATTACCTAAAATATTGAGTGAATGCTTTCCTTATCAGAATTCTGAAGCTATTTTTACCATATTAGTCCAACTCAGAAATGCAATTAATTACAGGTCATTGTAGTTTGTATCTGGAGATTATAATTCATCCTACAAGTAGTTTGCAAGAATTTGTATCACACACAAAGTACCAGAATTACAGAACACTTTAAAGTAAAATAAGTAAATAAGTGGCTCAACTAAATGAATTTGTTTATGCTCTCATTTTTTGGTGCTTGATGGTGTAAAACTGTAGTTTAATTGAGAATGTGATATTAATATACTTTAAGTGACTTTATAGAAATTTTACCTCTATTTTAACTATAATTATAAACTATAATTTAACTATCTTTATAATAAGTAAATAAGAGTACCTGGTAATTCAATGGACATAATTTGGTAATAATTTAATAATGTTAGTTTACATGTAACTGGATTTAAACACCTCTGGCAGTGCTTGCCTCATTTAGTGATTAGTGATTGAGAAATGTTTCCTGGCTATATAAATAATATATGAATGACATTTGTTAAATCGTTGAAGGTATTTGAGGTATTAAATATCTTAAACACTTTCTTTGTAATCTTATTTATACCTTTAATTTTCATTAACCAGGTAAATAAAAGTAAATTTTTCTTTCTCCTTCTAGTGATTTCCTTCTCCTTCTAGTGATTAGTGAGGACTCCATTTAAAGTAATTTTTGGAAAGAGGTCTCGATACCTAGCTCTATACATGAATAAATAAAGTGTTCGCATATTTTGAAATAAAATATGATGCCATCAAAAATCACAAGAGCTGTCTGGAAATGTGAGGAATTTAAAAAAGTTATTTACTTGTTTTATAAAGTTTATTCAAATGTGCATCAACCTTTTTTTCATCTCTTTATGAAAGAGCATAGGTCACTATGCACTTTTCTGTTTATCTTTTCCAGCTAATATTAAATTGTAAGTATAAAACTAAATAAACTTATGTTGTCAGCTTTAGGTACCTGATGCTATAAACCTAGAGTTCTAATTGGAAATATGATATTAATATGCTCTTTTTAGAAGTTTGATTGCATTACTTATTTCATGAAGCAAGAAATAATGATAAAATTGCTAGTTATTTTAATCAAGAACCATTTGAATACTCATAAATTAAAGATATTTAAATATCAGGGCAAAAAAAGCCACATGAAATGAAATGGACCAGCTAACTATTTAAAAGAATTCCCATGTGTCAAGTGGCATAAATAACATAACATAGAGGTGAGGATTAATTTTCTCTCAGATAACTTGTTATCTTGTTTTAATATGATTAAAAATCCCCCCTGGGTCTGATGCTAATCTCTCCTCCAAAGACTTGGATCTTATCAAGCTTGGGAGCTACTTTGGAAGTAAGAGAGTGCTCTCCAGCAGAACCCTCAAGAGCCAGTATCAGTTTTTATAATCTGCTCTGGGCTAATGAAAGAGCCGGATGAGTTTACACGGATTATCACTTGTGGCTGTCTCATTGACTTGACATTGTACAGGAAGAGAACTCAAAGTTCAAGGAGGTTCAGACAAAGTAGACAGGTAGAAATTGAGAGACCATTTTAGTGGCTTGCCATAAGATGCTTTAGGTTTCAATTTGTTTGTTTATCTTTTCATCTTATTCTGATGTCTCTAAAATTTCCCTTTTTAGCTCAAAGACTTACATTGTATAAAGAGCCTTTGCTTTTTAAAATTCAATATAGTATTAATTCAATACACACTTATTGAGTATCTGTTATGTGCCAGTTACTGTGCTGAGGGGTTGGGAATATAGCAGTGAGTAAGGACAATGAGGTACTTACCCTTCTGAGGCTCACAGTGGTGGCAAGGTTGGCATTAACTAGACAGTATTCAAGAGTAATAAGGGCCCTAAAAGTGTCTTACTTTTTAAAATACTTTCTGTCACTGCAGCCTTCTGTTATGGTACTTATAAGCTATGTCCAAGTCCTCTTGTTGCTTTATGTTTGAATAAAATGGATATTCATCCATTAATTTATTCATTATTCTTTCAACAAATACCATTTGAGTGATTCTATTGCCTAACAAGTGAGTGACAGAAAGATAAATTAGACCTGCCCTCAAGCATCTTATGGTCTAGTGTAGGGGATAATATATGTATAGACATTATGATGATGCTACTCTATAACAGTTATAGAAGTTCAGATAAAGAAGGGAATGTTTCCAGCTGACAGGGTCAGGAAAGTTTCCATAGATAAAGAGGCTATAAATGGGGCCTTATAATTAGTGAGGTTGTGAACATGTGGCACAAGGAAAAAAATATCCAAAATAAAGGACAGCAGAACAAAGCCACAAAATTGGGAACTCAGAGAGAGTCAACGAAGCAAGAGCAAGCATTCAATTTTGATGAGTGGGTTGGGGAGAGTGAAGAGGTACAAAGAGAACAATAGAAGTGTTAAAAGCATCTAATAGCTTGCTTGTTGCCAAGGACCACAGGATCCTCATATATTTGGAAGCTTTTTTATGAGACACACTTCATGAGACAACCGCCCACCCCATGCTGCTGGTCCTCTCAGTTCCGATTCTCTTACATTATCTAGTTATTCAGGAATGCATAACATTAAACATAATAGATACTGGGGCCAAAAATCAACAATAGTTGGAAACATGTAACTTGGAAAGACATGTCCTCATTTTGAAATCAAATCCCAGACAAAACCTCTGGAATTTCAGGTTTGGTTACGAATGTTGAACTTGTATGAAGTTCACTAAAGTTCACTTTTAGGAAGCCTGGAGAGAGTTAGGTGTAAATCAGAACCAGTCGAGGTGGCAACCTGAATACATACATTCATAGGTACAGAAAGACATGCCCAGCCCTTTGGAGTTTCAGATGGAAACCATATGCAATGCCATGGTATTGCATGGCTTTAGCCGGAAGCCTGGCTGTTCAGCGCCTTCCACTGGGTCTCTCTCAGGAGTTTTATTTCCATTTGATCCTGAGTTTACTGCTGGGTATCTATCCTGCTCTCAGAAAATAAGAAGCTTGAAGAAATAGGTGAGCCTAAACTATTAAACTCTCTTTACTGCCCAAACCTATGTTCTGTAAAATTTATGACGATGTGAACACCTCACATTTCCATGTAAATTAGAGCATGAAAGGAGATGCTTGACTTGTTGGGGCTTCCATTAATGGATTTTTTTCAGTTGGCATCAACCTCTATTCCTAGATGGAATTATGAAAAAAAGAAAAAAAAAATGGAGGGGAGAAAATGTTTTATCCTCAACAGAATCTGCTTCATTACAGGTTAT